CGGACACGCCCACTTTGAGCACATGGTGCGCGCGGTGGAGGCGCTCGCCGCCGAGCGGGGCTTCTCGCCGGACCAGTGCCACATCTGGCTCGACCTGCACTCGAGTGCGCGCTCGAACGCACCCCTTGCCCTCTGGGCCACCTGCCGCCGCCGCCCGGTCAACCCTCGCCCTCCCGTGGCCACACCCACCGCCGACGCCGCACCCCCCCCCCCCCCCACCCCCGGAGGGGGCAGGCCCGCCGAGCAACGAGGCGACCAAGGCGCCGGCGAACGGCGCGAACGCGCCCCTCGCCGCAACCACGACCCACCTTGGGGCGGGCGCGCCCGAAACGCTCCACCTCGACACGGGCCTCCTCTGCAGCCGCGACACATACCTGAGCCGCGGCTGGTGCCGTCTCGAGCAGTGGGCCTTCATGCTCGCCAACGGCACCGACTCTATCTACTTTTGGGGCGACGCCTCGGGCGGGCTGCAGCGCATCGACAACGTCTCCTCCTGGATTGAGACGAGCATCAAGGCCTTGCCCTCACCTGCCACGCCGCCGGGCCGCCCTCGCCGCCGCCTCTGCCGCCGCCCCCTCCACCGCCACCCGCTCTGCTGCTCAGGTCTTCCTCGGTGAGTTCACAAAGGGCGAGGACAAGGAGCTGCTTGTTGACGTCGTGCTCGGCCTCTACGGCCTCGCCTTTGTCTCCAAGCTGCAGCGGGCCGACGGCGCGGCGGAGCGGGGCGGCGGCGCGGGCATGAATTGCGACGCGCTGTGGGAGCAGCTGCAGACGCACAAGGCGGCCATCTTCCCAGCGGAGCTCTTTGGCGACCTCGTGGAGCTGCTCGAGACGGAGCTGGCCGAGGCGATGGCGCAGGCGCGCCCACACCGCACAGTCGTGCCACGCTCGTAGCACTGATGGTGGTTGATCCTCGCGTCGGGATTCCTCCGGCGCGCCACACCTGGCCCCCGCTCGCCCACTCGCTCGACCGCCCTTCCCTCCTTCACAGGTGAGCGGTGACCAAGACGGCGAGCGCTGGCCGAGGCGGCCGCAACGCCGCACCGAGGGCAAGAGCAGCCGCGTCACCGGCCGCCCTAGCCCGGATAAGCGTGAGTCGTTCGCGCTCTTTGACCGTCACGGCTTTGACGACGTGCTGCGGGCGAGCGGGAGGCTGTACAAGCGAGCCTGCGAGGCGAGAGGGCGGAGCACTTTCCATTGCCCGCGGGGCAACCCTCTCTTGCACTCGACCATGCGTGTGTGACCTCCGTGTGTTTACGTAGCTGTAGCTGTGCAGTACATTACATGCACATGTATGAGTAGTGACCCGGCAGACAGATCTGTGTGGTGAGTTTTAACCCCTAAACGGCTGTGGTTCCCATATGGGAACTTCGCCAATTCTGTGAAAGAGAGAGCTGATGCGGCTGGTCGCAGCGACGGCCGATCCAGCAGTCGTCTGCGACATGGCAGTGGCCCCGAGTCATGTGCAGCTGGTCCCGAGCGGCTCAGGTCCCAGATCGAATCTCGGACCCACAGATTCTAGATTCCTTTAGATTCCCTGGATTCCCGCAACAGCGATCTCTTAGCGGCGGCAAACAGAGGCGCAACTCTGCCAGCAGCGAGGAGGCTCCTGCTGCTCAGCTACCGAGGCCTGGTGGCGTCGGCTGCTGCGTGGAGAAGACAGCAGCACTGTCCGACCTCAAAACATGCACAACAAGCGGGATTTGTGACTCTGTCCTCGATTCTTCAGTCGCTCTGCCGGACGCGCTCGCTTTGTCGCGAGGGTCACCAGTGCAAGCCGTGTGGACGCCCAGAATAGCCTCCCCTGGCTTAGCTAGAGTGAGAGATATTGTGCACGTGGTCAGCCTCTACAATATATACACTGACACTTTACCTCCCAGAGCTCGTCTCGGTCCGCCACGGCCATCCTCGGCCTCCGGAGGGCCCCCGGCCGCGGCGCGGTGCGGCGGCGTCACAAATCCGACGTCAGTTCACCGGGACGCGATCGGGCGATCTGAAGTCCAACTAGGCGTATGGATTGTCCGCCCAGGGCTATCACCTGGACCCCTCAATGGACGCCTGCGGTGCCGCCCCCACGAGGTGTTGTTCACAACCATTCACGTGCAGCAGGGACGCGCTGTGTGTGGCTGGCAGCAAACTCAAATGACGACGGGTTGCAGCCTCGTAGCTCAACGGCAACATTGTGCATGAGGAAGGCTGATAGAAGTATCACCAGCCACACAACCAACAGCTTCTGGAGAGTATGCGGAGCGCAAGCAGCCGGTGATCAAAGGCGTGTTGCTGTCGGTGGCAGATTGCCAGAGGGACGCCGGCGCCTCGGTGCGTGGCTTCGTCACAATTTTCCACCGCTCAACTTGGAGGCAGTGTGTCTAGTAGCGTGCTACACCTATGACGGCGGACCTCACTGGGGCGCCGACGTGCGACGACCGTCTGGGATCGAAAGACGAAACCGCGTCCCAGGAGCTCGTGCAGAGCGCGCTCCGGAGCTCGGTGGCGGGAAATTTGAAGGGAACGTGGTGGCTTCCCACCGCCTCTGTATGTGCCCAATAAAGTGCTAACACGACCCTCGGGCAGCAGGGGGTATGTGGCGAGCGCACGGAGGCACAGTTAGGCCGCCGTGATATCGCCCTTCCGGGCACCCCGTTTCGGTAGCCGTTTAGGGGTTAAAGGCCAAGGTGGGCCCTATTGAAAAGACCCCGATTTTGAGGGGTGTCGGACAAGCTAAGCTCAAGCGCGCTGTCGCTGCCCGAGTTGTGGTCACGTCCCCGAAATCTTCGCCGGCCCCGCCAGCTTGACCGACTGGACCGCGGAGAGGCTGGGCTTGGCCGGCGGCGCACGCGTGGCCTCTGCTGCGGCCATCTCGGACGCTCAAGCGGCGCCAGCCAGCGGCTCGGCCGCGCATCCTTCACACACGCCGCCACGACCAAGCTGAGCGGGCCCGGTGTCGAGTCATGGTGCGAGATGCATGTCAGGGGCGGCTGTGGCCACAGCAGGTCCACCAGACGGGCGTCAAAGCTTGCCGTCGGCGTGCTGTCGTGGCGAGAGCCGAGACCGCTGCAGAGGAGCCGAGTGCAGTGGCGAGCCAGAGGCTACCAGGGTCACCAGGTGGTAGCCCTTGCCCATTCTGAGCAGGGATGTGCTTTGATGGGGTTGTGCTTGAGCGTGTGTGAAGTGGGAGTGCGTGCCGGCGGTGTCTGTGGCTGAAACGGGCGTGTGTGAGGCTGCAGAGCCGTGGTATGAGCCAGAGTGAGCTTCATCACCCAAGATAAGTGCGGTTTGGGACGGCTCAGACTTGCTGCTGATGGGCCTGGGCCAGGAGAGCGACAGAGAAGGCGAGGTGGTGAGCTGGGAAGCCGCTTTGTCGGCACCTGGACGTGTCGCGATGAAGTGCCAAAAAGTACTATTTGCGGCTATTGCTCCAAACTTCGGGAGACAAGGCCTACATATTATGACTGCATCCATGAGCCTAGTGCATGAGGGCTGTGGGTCGGGACATTTCACAGTCGATGGCGCCGATAATGACCTCCGTAATGCCCTCGCAATCGGCTCGGATGGGGTCCACCGGGGACTATCTCGGAGCCCTCTCCGTGGCATCACGAGCCGGTGTGAGCTTGAAGACCCGCGGTAAGTGCGGTTTGGGACAGCTCAGACCTGATACTGATGGGCCTGGGCCAGGAGAGCGACAGAGAAGGCGAGGTGGTGTGCTGAGAGGCTGGAGAGTCCGCGTC